TCTGACAATCAAAATATGACTTTTGTGGTGATATTAGCCAAAACTACTAAACTGTTTAAACTTTAAAGCAAACGCTCTATGTTTTGCTTTAAAACATACCTTTGCCATTAGTACATACTAATGTACATACTTTTGCCCAGGTTCGCCTGGTGCACCAGTTGCAGCCCTACCTGGACCGGGAGGCACTTAAAAAAGTCACTCATGCCCTCGTCACCTCAAAACTGGATTACTGTAACGACTAGCACCTTGAAGCGGGTCCGGAGACCAATAGGAAGCCAGTGCAGCTCAGGGAGGATAGGCAATATTGGTGTATCTAGATTCACCCATATCGCTCGCGCGGCTGCGTTCTGGACCAACTGTAGTCTTCGAACACTCTTCAGGGGCAGCCCCATGTAGAGCGTGTTACAGTAATTCACATTTGAGGCCATCAACTAACCAACCAGATTGTCGAAGCATGCATTACAAGCCAACATAGGTTGGCTTTACACAGCATGCTAAAAATTAGGAATAAAAAGGAGCTGGGAAAGGACCTATGTTACTGCCTCTTCATATCCGACTCTAGGAGGCAGTGTGCTCATCTCTTGTTTCTTAGCCGAGGGAGCCAGCGTTATCCAGAGACATTTATGCGATCACGTGACCAGCATGACTATAGATCAAGGCTCACAGAAAGCGGTGTCCTTCCCACTGAAGTGGTACTTATTTATCTACTCACATTTGCTAGCTTTCGAACTGCTAGGTGGGGCCGGAGCTGGGGCAAGTAACGGGAGCTCATCCCCATCATGCAGCAATTTGGGTCTTGAACTCAGGATGTCAGTTTTCCAGTTTAACCACTGATCCACTGCACCTCCTTGGCATACAAATACAAACACATATTTCCTAGGATAGCACAAATACCATTCAAGTCAACAAAAAAGCATAATTTATTTAAGGAATCACTGAAATATAGCAATGCCTGTACCAGATCTAAAGCATCTTTCCAATCACTTTGTATTGAATGCATATTCCTAAATTAAATCAAGCAAACAATAAAATGGTCCAATACAAGCTATGTGTACCCTAAATATATCTTGCTAAGGTAAGGTAAAGTAAGGATATTTTTTTTTACAAATCATCAGACTCTTAACAATAAATGTTGGATACCTTTTGTATTTTTTTTCCTTACATCGCTGAATTCTGAGCAAATGCATTATGATATCTGATGCCATTTTTTATTTCTTTAATCTCCAACCCCAACCCTTAGGCCGTTACCTCAAAAGCCGCCAATCTTGTCAAGTAAGTATTCTGACATTTGATTTAATTTCGGTGTCATTTTGATCAGGGTGGAAACCTTGCTGATAATTAAGTGTGTTTTATCAGGGCAACGTGGTTTACCCAAATATGGGATGGAGCATACTGCTTCGCAGTGACGTGCGGTGAGCTTTATGGCTGGTGAGGCAGCTTTTTAGACTTGTGGACTTCAACTCCCAGAATTCCACAGCCAGGCATGCTCAGT